TCCCTTTGCTTCGAAAAGCGTGTGGAGAGTAAGAAATATAAAAGGGAATTTTTTTTATTTGCACTCTAAGGCCATGCAAACTTGTGCATGTTTTTTCTTTTTCAGGGAGGGGTTTTCCCAAGTTCGTAAATAACAAAAAAAAAAAAAAGAAAAAGCAAATTAAAATTACTACTACTACTACTACTATTACTGCTACACAAGCAAAATACATTTGAACTTATCGGAAAGGATATTTTGATTGAAGGGAGAAAAAGGGGGGGGCGAAGAAATACAAATGATATCAGAATGATATAAATAACCGATACAAAATGAAACAAGATATAGATCGTTGCGTTGCGAAGAAAACAAAAAAAAACAAAAAAAAAATAACGGAGTTAGTAGTTTAGAGGCAAAGGGTGGAAAGGGGATATAGAGAGAGAGGAGGACGCTCGGGAAAGGAAAAGGGAGAAAGAGAGAGAGAGAGAGGGTAGGAGCTTTTCCTTCTTCTCGCGCTTTAAGCGTTATCGATCGAGACGAGGTGCTTCGGAAAAGAAAAGTACTCTTCTTCTAGCCGGGGGTCAATGATGAAGCACGATTTAGACTTTAGCTTAGAGTGCTTCTTCTTATTCTTCTTTTTTTTTTACTCCACAGTTTACAATTAGATCTAATAATGGATGCGTAACAGAAACGATACTACACACCAATAATGATTTGTGCTACATATGGGTAAACTTTGTCGTCTTTTTAATATTTATCTCGACTTTGTTACCCATTTTCTTTTTTTCTAACATATATCATTATATTTATGCATAAACTAAAGCATTATTCTAATTTCTTTGATTTTTTTTTTTTAATGGCAATCTAAATAACAGCAATGATGATGGTAAAAGGGAGAAAGGGATAGATGGTAATGGCAGGTGATAAACATAAATCGGTTTGTTGTTATTCTACGTAGTATTGGAAAAATCTATTTTCAAAGTTTATCAAAGAGATAATAAATACTTTCACGAGAGGGAGAGAGAGAAACTCGATGAGAGTCTTGACAAATAAATGAGTGAATACGTATATATATATATGTGTATGCGTGTGTGACAGAGAGAAAGATAGAGAGAAAGAGAGACAGAGAGAACTCGCGAGTCACGAAAACATGTTTTTTTCGACTGTTCCGAGAATAAACACTCGGAGGAAGGAATCTTGATTATCCGTTGGAGGGGTTCGAAGTTCATACGAGCCTATCGGTGGCACCGTTGTTAATCGACTTCTCGACCTCGAACAACACCGAAGGTTTTCTTTCTCGCTCTCATTTACACACTCGAGATACGTAATTACCACAAATTCAAAAAAAAAATACAATTTACAATATATGTTGCTCATGACTTTTTTCCATTATCGTCTTTCAAAAAAAAAAAAGGTTAATCAAAAAATGATATAAATAGAAAGGAAAGAGAGAGAGAGAGAGAATGTTACTTGTGCGGTACATAAAAGAGGAATCTAGACCGAATAAAAAATCACCTGGCAACTGGTCGTCCTATCAAAAATTCCGCGTTCCCGTCGCGAACCTGTTTAAAATATCGACTCTGCTGAAGGCCTCTCTGTAAACAACTTTCGAGGCGGCGATTCGTTCGCAGAAAGAAGAAAGAAAGAAATAAAGAAAAAGAGATACAGAGACAGAGACAGAGACAGAGAGAGAGAGAGAGAGAAATAAAGATTACGTATAGCGCACGCACTCGCGCAAACTCTGCTCCAGGCGAATTTATTTAAATTCGACCGAGCGTAAATTATTCATGCCGCGAGGCAGTATGTTAACCTCGACTCTTTCATCTTCTCCGTAAGTGTAAGGTAATCCATCCGTTTTGCTATTTGCTCCGAATGTCCTAGAGTGCGTAAGGGTTGCTGCTAACTGTATATACCCCTATTTACGATTTTAAACAATTAAGACAATATTTTTGTCCTACACTTTAACCAACACACTTAGAAAAGATTTCTTATGATTTTAATAATAAATATTTGTTCTTTTCTTATTTTTCTGTTCAGTTATTTTTTTTTGTCTTCTTATTTTTAGCTCGTCTTTTAACGGACAAACAATTCTTTCGATTTCCCCTCCTCTATACGTCAAAGATAAATAAATAACTTTTTGATATTTTAAGAAGAAGAAAGTTATGATAGCAGCACTTAATGGTAGTATGGGAGTAGTAATGATGATGGCGATGTAAGAAAGCACACTTTAACGTACAAATATTCTCCAATTGGAATATTTTTGTCTATTATCTCATTACGATGTCTCCTTAAATGCTTACCTTGAATAACTTCTTAAGCCTCCGGTAGCCGCGATGTAATCGCGACACGTACTGCTTGTTGGAATCCAGTTTGAATGATTAAAGCCACAGTTGCGGAAACGAACGATGAGAATTTATTGAGAAAATCAAAATGATGATGGGAAGAAGTTGTTAAAGCCAAATATTGTATTTCTCCTGTAGGTTACTTTTGATCGTTGGTCCGATGATAATCTTCGAGTTGCAGAAAATTAATGTGGAAGAAATGTGAAAGAACGGAAGAGTTGTTGTTGTTGTTGTTGTTGTTGTTGTTGTTGATGATGTTGATTAATGATGATGGTAATGTTGTGTTTCGTTGATGCTCGTTGGTCAAGGGGATGAATCGATTTGGTAACAGTAGTAGCAGTAGCAGTAATAATAATAACAGAAGTTTAAGTGCTGTTGTGATGTGTTGAAATTTTCCGTTTAACGTTAAAAAAACTGTTTTCAATGATGATAGGAATTTAGAAGAATCGATGAAGTAAATAACAGTGAAGAAGAAGAAAAATAAGATGATGATGATGATGATGATGTTGATGAAGTGAAGTGGATGGTGTTGATCGTCAACGTTTAGTGGATTTCCAAACAAACAGTCCCGATGTATATATATGTGTATATATATTAAGTTTCCTTTCGATCAGAGTCTCTCTCGGGAACGACATACGCGTATATATGCATGCGCGGGAACCGAAGAACGAAAAACACGTTCGTGGCCATAGAGAGCCGTACGCTTACTGAATTCTACGCTTGGCGGGTCCGGGCTGCTAACCCGCGCTTTCTCCCCACTACGAGTAGCTCTCTTGGCGGCAAGCCTCCCACCACCAAGCCGACCTCTTCCCCAAGCGTATCCCCTCTTTCAGCCTTGCTCGAGCCCGCATCCGGGAGCTTCGAGTGGGGTGCGAGCAAGGAGCTGCTTCTTTCACTCTCCTTCTCTCTCTATTTCTCTCTTCTTCTTCTCTCTCTCTCTCTCTCTTTCTTTTCTTTCCCTCCCTCCCCGTTTCAACCTACGTCGACGTCGACGTCGTCGTCGTTGTCGTCGTCGTCGTCGTCGTCGTCGTCGTCGTCGTCGTGTCAGTAATCTTACCGTAGATCGTAAAAGTACGCTTACCACTGCGGTCAAGTGCGAAAATTGCAATGAAAGCACAGACTACGCCTCGAAACTATGCTTTTATTCTTTTTTGCTTGTTTGCTTCCTTTTCATCGTAGGAATGTCAAAAAGAAAAAAGAAACAAAATAAATTCTCTCTAAACACGAATAATATATACTTAATATCGCCATAAACTTAATCAAAGTTTGCACGATAGTAATAAGAATAAATAAATAATGTAATGGGAATTACGAACGGGATATACTTACTTTTAATAATAATTATTATTATAATAATAATAGTAATAATAATAATAATAATAATATCGGACGGTTAACGATCCGATTCTAGCCCGTTGACACCGGCCTACTATCACGACGACGGATAAACATTCGAAATTGTTTATCGGAACGACGACGAGTTCGCGTTCGAATTTGACCGTTCGAGGGGAAAAAGTCCATACGGTTAGTTGCCGTAGCAAGGAGAGAGGGGAAATTGGGTTTGGCGCGCATGCGTTGGCGCCTCGGCGGGGATAGTTTGAGCGACGGCGCCAGTACCCCCACTCGAACTCACCCCTACCATCTTCGGGCTCGCAGACTGCGCTCTCTCGCCTTGGAAGGTAGGGCACGCGCGAATGAACGCGCGCGCATTCTGCGTACCTCCCTTTCCTATCTTCTCTTTTTCCTACTCCTCCACCGCCACTTCCTCCACCTCCTCTCAGCAAACCCTACTTCCCTCCCACTCTCTCGTTCCCTCACTCACTCATTCTCTCTCTTTCTTTCTTTCTTTACAATCCTATTCCATCCTTCTCGCACTCGCTCTCGCTCTCCGTGTGTTTGTTTGTTTATAGTCGTGTTCTCGGAAATACCCGATACGAGTAACGGACTCTTGCGGCGCGCGCGTTGCCTCGCATTCCCATTCTGGCGTTGCATCCGGTCGGTTCTCGGATTCCTCGAGCGTTGCATCCAACTTTTCCTATATACCTGCTGTTATGCTATCTTTCTTTCTACCGTTTCACGATTTTCTTACTGTTTCCTTTAGGATGACCTTTTTTGATTTTTTTTTACTTTCAGTAATTTATTACTTTTCGAAAGATAAAAGAAACACAATGCAAGAGTCAGAAATCTATTCGTTGAACTTGACAACGTCAAAATAATCAACGGGACAAATCGTTATCTTTTAGTATGAACTTGACTTTTGATTCTTCCAACGCGTACTAATCTTTCTTTTTATTTTATTTTTGTTTTCTACGAACCTACAGAAAGGATGATAGATACTTCGAAAGGTATGATAAAGATTGCATCGCATTTCTTAATTCTCGCGAAAGTAACTTAACTTTGTGTGTCGTTTACGTTTCCATATCTCTTGAGATCAAAAAAGTAAATATCGCTACGTACGATGATAACGCAAGTTAGATGAAGTTTCATAATAGATCGTAGAACATAAACGCTATCGCACGTAATCGCTTGCTATCAGAAACTTTCGGTGATAAAGAGTATTGTTTTCTATTCTTATGTTTTCAGTTTTTTTTTCTTTTCTTTTCTTCTCTTTTCCTTTTTTTTTATCTATCAAATAATATTAGTTTTCAAAATAAAGCGAATATATAAACATATAATATTTCTTTCTATGGTGATAGAAAATAAATTTGATTGAAAATCAAATCAAATTATAATTCGTATTATACATTGAACAAATCATACTGCCTATGATTACTGTAGCTGTTTAAATGGAATGAGAGATTATTTAATGTTCATTCTTATCAGTAATATATTGATATATTTAATTAATCTATATTATCTTAACCCTTTGACTGCTAAAGGCGTATATATACGCTCTTACTATGGAGGGTAGAGGTAAGGAGTAACATCTTTGTATATGAAAAATGTCCGTCAAAATTGAACCAATTGAGGTGGCGCCATATTAGCATCATGGTAAATTTTAAAGGAAACGCCAAATATTATTAGAATGGGATTGAGAAATAAACAATTACAATACATTTACAATTGCTACATTCATACCATACCAAGTGTCTAAACCAACGCTATTCTGGAAGGTTTTTGAACTATTACTCCCATAAAAAATTTTACTCCTTACCTCTACCCTCCATAGTTCTTACAAGTCCATCAATATACACGAAAGGCGTAAATATACGCTCTCTGTATTTTTTTACTATAACACCTTTATTGCTGTATTCCCGAATAATTTTACATGGAATTTATTGTGATATGTAACATAGCAACTAAATATTGGCAATTATTTCAATGTCGTTTAGTTAATTGCTTTTATATTTAAAATTCGCCTATTTTAATTTTATTATTTTTATAATAAGGGTTAAAATTATTCAAATATTCTGTTAAAGTTATTATAAATACAGTGTTACATTATAAATATTGTATTTTTTCTTTTATATTTAAATTACCGATTATTATTGAAGGAATGCACAAAATAAATAAAGTAAATTAAAATAGATTAAAAAATTATTTTAAAAAATTAAAACAAATTGATATTTTAATTTTATTTGCCATTATTATCTGTTTTGGTCAGTAGTCAATGGAAAAACAGTTACAACAGCGACTGACATGCGAAAATCGCACCGCACCGTTCATATTAATGGATTGGCTCGAGAGTACGCCGAAGTCAAAGGGTTAAGAATATCACATTTAACGTATTTTATGGTTATTTTTGTCTTTTAATTTGTTGATTTCTGTACTCTATCTTTAATACCGTTTATTTAATTAATATATCAAAAAAGTTTGTTTCGTAAATGAATAAATAAATAAATAAAATAAGAATATTAAAATATACAAATACTGCAGAGAGAGAGAGAGAGACTGATAAAACTCGATTATTAAATAATAACACGTTATCGATATATCGCTAGTGTTAATCATTTGTTTGTTTGTTCTATAGAAGAGTTCATCCGATTCGCACACACTTGACTTCTTCGTTTCTTCGCGATAAAAAGCAACGACCGTTGATCGTTGATTACGTATCCATCGTCCACTCGTCCATGCTAGTTTTTGTAACATAGTAAATAATATATATGAATATATATATGAATATATGCATCATGTCAATGGCGAGGAAAGTTTTGAAAAGTCATGCAAACTTGGTAAGTGCGCTGCGCGTGCGTAGATGCAATCCAGACTGGATACGCTCAAATTTCGGCTTTTCGAAGTATACTACTCGACCGCGAGAACGATCACTTTTCAGAATCCAAGAATATCGAGTTACGAGTTTGATACAATACATATCTGCCTAATGTTTGCTATGTTTCATCGCTTTCGACATATGTATCTTGTTTTTCAGCTATCGATCAGCCTTAACTGCAAACTTTACTAGAAATACAAAGTCCACGGGGACAAGAAAAATCAAAAGAATAGTAGTAATAATAATAATAATAAGAATAAGAATAAGAAAAAGAAAGTAAAACGACGTTGTTGACTCCTTCTTTGAAATCGTTAGACTTTATCGTTTATTCTTACGTTTGATATGAACGTATATAATCGTTCGATATGAATCGCGCTTACGTGGAATCGTTTAAACTCCAATCTACTCTTCTTACCCCTTTGTCTTTAAAACAAATCCTTCATTTTCAAAGTTGTCTTTTTGCAAGATCTCAATGAAAGATTTCCATAAATGTTCTTTCTGACGTATTCATTTTCTCCCGGTCATTAAATATCACCATTGAAACTTACACTTTTCTTTCTACAAATGTAAACAAACAAGGGACGAGTCACTGACCAAATAGATTCATTAACTTATCTCTTGTTTTTAATTATACGAGCCTATTTTTGTTTTGTTTTTACTAAATCGTATTAAAATAGATTTTTATGAAATAAAATTAGTCAGCCAGCCAGTCAGCCAGTCAGTCAGTCAGCCAGTTAACAAACCAACTAGCCAATCGGCCAGTCAACGCAATCGTTTCTCCGAATATTTATGAATAGCAGATCGAATACGTCAACGTGGTATGGTAAGTACCTCTGTAGTATTTACGTGGCGTGTTATCGATCGGTTAGAACAATGCTAAGTCGACTCGAGTATCACAATGATAGACGAGAAGAGCGTAGCAACGATGATAACTACTACCTCGCCTCTGTTGAACGATCGTCCAGACCAGAAAAACACGCTCGTCACGTGAACCAAATAAATAACCGGTCAATTAACACAAATGCATCTGGGAGGAAGGGGGAGGAAGGGGATTCGATAAAATCGCCAACAAAAAGGAGCGCCTATATATATGAATAATCGTAAACGCATGATATATTATATTATATGAAAAATACGCGTTGAAAATAATCGAAATAATCGTATAAACGAGAAAGGAGAAGGAGGAGGCTGGTGGGGGTTGGTGGGTGGTAGGGGGACTGAAGGGGGACGCTGATAAACGAAATTTTTCAAGAACGCGTGTTTTCCCGATTATCGCGATTGAATTCTTTCGTTATCAAATAACCACCTCGTAGAATCTCAATCGATCGATCTATCGTAGGTAAGTTCTTATTATTATTATTATTATTATTATTATTATTATTATATTTATTATTATTGTTTTAAAACGTTATTATCTTTAAATTCAAATCTACGTAAGCTCTCTTCTTATCGATTATTCCGTAAACGAAAACAATGATGATTATCGTTGAATAATAATATTCGTAAACGTTAATACCAGTTTTATAAGAGAGAAAGAGAGAGAGAGAGAGATTTGTTGTAAGCCGCACGAGTGATTAGTCGAAAATTTCAACGATAACGAGACGTATATTGCATGCACTTCGTCGTACTAATAAAAATTTCAAACTATTCTAATGAAAAAAGAAAAAAAAAGAAAGAAAGAAAGGTAGCTATAAATTCACGAGATTAT